TTTAGCCAGCCACGCTTGTTTCTGACATGGCCAAGTGGGTCTCTGCCGCCCTCCTTTCTCTTACCAAGGAACAAGGGGTTTGGGCCTTGATAAGGTTTTTCCCCAGCTAGTCAGGGAAGGCAGGGAGCAGTTGGGTCCAGAGTCTCTCTTGTCCCTAAGCAAGGCCTAAGGTCACTAAATAATTTTTAAGGTCACTTATAACTTAGAATCTTTTAACTTGGCCATGATAGTTTACCCTGAGAAATCTGGACGTTTTCAAATGCAGGAAAAGAATAAGCCATTGTTTTATGTTCCAGACATTGTATGTGTTGAGGGTATTCTTCTTCCAAAATCATCCACCACATCTGATTTCATTATAGAATTCAGCAGAGGAATCAGAATTAGATCAATAAATTAGGCCCTAGACAGTCTAGTTAATGGGCAGTCAAGTGAAGGTAGAGAACCTCTTCCCAGCTCCTGGGTGGAGAACACCCAGGTAGCACTTTAAAACAAACCCTAAAGCACAACATTTTTCATGATCCCCCTCTCCTACCCATGTCCTCTGCTTTTTGTTTCTTTAGAAGTATTTTGCTCTTTGAAGAGAAATGATTTCACGGGTACACCCTTCTTCCTGTGTATACACTGACTTCAGTGATGTTAGTAGCAATTAAAGTGCTTCATATAAGAATAGAGTGCAAAGTCTTTCTCATTATAGCTTGGAAGCTGGCTTCTAAATTCTTTAAAATTAGCACATTGGAATGGAGAAACCTAGAGGGACATAATAAAGCAAACCTAGAGGAAAACAGTCACGCAATTGCATGGTGGCTGAGGGCTTAGTCATGTGGCATCGTGTGAGGGCCAATAGAAGTGACTCCTTGATTTCCCAAATAACTCTTCCCTGTGAGTTTAAAATATATTTATTGTAGATAGGGAGGTTATTTGATAACAGAGTTAACAGAGGGAATGTGCATTTGTTAGGTGACTATTTAAACTAATTTGGCTTCTTTTGCCACCACTCTGTGATGGGAGCCTCACAAAACAGCATTAGCACGAGCAACCAGCGGTCCCCTGCCGTCCTGACACAGTCCAGCTTGAGTGCATGTCACTGGACTGTAACAGGCATGTGTTTTCCTAACTAGTGTCCCTGAAATAGACACCACGTAACAGTGCTGTTCAAATATATTTATCCCTAAAAGTAAATAAATCTGAGGGCCTGTTTCCCTCCCTAGTAAATCTGAGAGGCAAGTATGGGAGCTGGGACTGACTGAATGACCAGACACCCGATGAAGAGCTAAGGCCATGGAAAACCTCACATGTGAATGTAAGGCGTCAGGCCACCCTTTTTAGCCAATTCTGGTGTCATTCTGATCCTGTGCAAGTTGCCCCGTGTGGCTTGAACCTCTGCTGCCAAGTTCAGACGTTAGCGAGGCGAGGTGGCAGCCTTTTCAAAGGACGAAGGCATGCAGGGTGAATAGCCTCTGCTCTCTTCTGCACCGAGGCTCCTTTGAAATCCAGGCTCCCACGGAAACGTGCTGCTCAGTGCGGTGCCTATGAAGAGAGTCTACAACAGTGATGGCGAACCTTTTGAGCTCGGCGTGTCAGCATTTTGCATATCCCTAACTTAACTCTGGCGGCGTGTCACATATAGAAATTGTTTGATCTTTGCAACCATAGTAAAACAAAGACTTGTATTTTTGATATTTATTTTATATATTTAAATGCCATTTAACAAAGAGAAATCAACCAAAAAAATGAGTTTGCGTATCACCTCTGTCACGCGTGTCTTAGGTTCGCCATCACCGGTCTACAAGGCCGTTCCCAGGCAGCCAAGCACTGGAGGTCCTGGGTGGATGATGACTCGGTGCCACCAGCAGGTTATCTGAGCTCTGAGGTTCCATCTCAGCAGGTGAGGGGTTCAGTGCAGCCCAGCCTCCCCAGGTTGATTTTAATCGCTGTCAGTGGACAGTAGGATTATGCTCATGTCAAACAGGAAGAACTCCTTTTGGCAGCGAGGTCAAGTTAGCTTCTGTGTTTCCTGTTCTTGCTCAGGGAAGCCACTGGTATAGATACATTCAAGTTCAGGTATTCACAAGAATGCTCATCCCCGTGGCTGGGAGTCATGCTGCTGATGCGGGGCTGTTTTAGAAAGGTCCATAAATCATTAGAAAAAGGTTTAGCAAATACCTGGTAGTATCATAGCAGGTATTGTAAAGGAGCATCAGGCTTGACTGGTGCACATGCCCTAACAAGGTTTATTTTAGAGATTTCTTGCCTTTCAGAGACCTCTGTCGCTGTTGTACTGGAGACAAAATGCAATTTGTCGTATTCCAGTTTCCCGACTCTGTGCACCCCTGAGCTCCTGCTGCCCTGTAATTCTCTTCCCCCAGACCTTCCAGGTGGCCCTATGAACTTCAGAATCTGACAATAAAGATAAGTTTTCATTGCTGCAAGGTTAGCTCTAACTGTTAGGAGCATCTGAGTGAAAAGACAGCAAACTTCCTCAGGAAATCACTAATACTTAATGTGGTACCGTCAGGATGGGTGTGTGGTACTTACCAAACCATTTGATTGTGAATCTTTTTTATTAGAACATGCCTCGGGGTTCGTCTTCTAGGGAGTACTTTTGGGGAAATAGTGGTCTCTTCGCATTCCCATTTCCTGTATTCTGACGACCGTGCAACTCAAAACAGTGGTGCTGGACCAGCCACGTGGTTATCATGTGGGAGGAAGCCTGTTAGACATCTCAGACTCCACTCTGACCTACTGGGTCAGAATCTGCATTTTAATGAAGACCCCCAGGCGGTTGGTACACGCATGTTAAAGCTGGAGAAGCAGCGTTTCAGGCTAGAGCTGGGGCAGCTTCCACATTCCTACCTGAAACCATTCTGGTCAAAGTCACCAGTGACAACCTTCTTGCTGCCCAAATGGCCTCATTTGAGTCTCAGCTTCCTTGTCCGCTCGGATAATGTAATGTCATGCTGCTGACCAGTTCTTAAATATTAGTGAGAAAGTAATATGTTCATAATAATAAATTTAAACTGTACAAAATGGTGCAAAATAAAAAGTTACGGTTCCCCTATTGTACCCTCCTCTTGTTGCTAATTCTCAGAGATAACCCCAGACTTTTGTTTTGCTTTGGTTGTTGTTTTTGTTCCTTTCAGACATTTTTTGAAGTGTGCAGGCATACACAATTCATTGCACAGGTGATAGCATATTGAACAGACTGTTTTGTAACTTATTTCATTTGACAGTAAAATCCGAGACAGTACCCACTCACACGGACATTGTTCTTTCCTCAGAACCTTTTCCTCCCTTATCTCTCTGAAGTATCTCTTTTCTGGGTTTCTCCTTACTCTCTGACCTCCTTTCTAATCTCTTGCTACCTTCTTTCCAGTCCCTCATTTCTGTTTTCAGCCACCGCCGTCCGTGTAGCACCTCCCAGCTCGCTGGTTTTGGAGAAGTCTCTTCTGAGCTCCATACCCTTTTCCCCAGTGACGATTGGACATCCCATAGGTGCCCCAAATCCAATACATTGATGTTCTTTGTCAAAATCTTCTCCTTTCCTTCTCTTCCCTTTCCTTCCTGTCCTGAAAAGATACCATTCGGCCTCATTTTGGTGTGAACATTCAAATTCCGTCTGAATCTGAG